AGAGCTGTCGCGAAGAATAGCAGCACGGCCTGCGGCACATGTCAGTCTCTTGTCACTATAATACACAAATGGATTCAAGAGGTTTTGTAAAGGTTAATTTCAACACTTCCATACCTCAAATTTAGTAATAATCCTGAGAGGGAGGAGGACAAGCTTCAAGACACCAAGCCCCAGTTTCAACAGTGGCGCGACCAAAAGGTTTAGAAGTCCATACACACAATATGCCAAAAATGTCAAGGGGTATATGATAGAGTAAAGCAAATTTGCGACTGCCGTAGCCCATGCCATTGAAATACAACACTTGAACTACTGTCGCATCCCTGTAGTATATATGAGGAACAACGAAGGTGCAATAGTAGGCTGACCAATTCTTGAACTCAATGAGGGCATGGATGTTTATCAACTGTGATTTCCCAATCCCAGCCGGACCGCGAAAGATGAAGTTACAAGCACTTGGAATTCTCCTACTAGCAGGAATGGAGCATGATGTCGGTAGATGAAGATCCAGTGGAGCCGAAGACCCGCCCCAGGACACTGATTTAGCGCTAAGCCGAATCTATTTTAGTTTATTCTTCTTGTCTGCTGCCTATCTTACAGCGGCATTGGCACCTTACCATAACAAAACAACCCCAGAACTGGAGAATAGAACCCTATACCCTAAATGAACGCTTTTGGCAAGCCCCGGAACAACGTCGACATCATCAAATGCTGAGAGATACCAATGATCCATTGACAGAGTGAATCGTAGTACGATTCGATTGCCTACATGTTTACCTGAAATACTTATTGTGAATCTCATCCGCATTCAAATTATTTATTTTGCATCATTGCTCATTCATCTTTGCGCTTGGCCCTCGGTACAGCCCCTGGAGGCTGGCGCGCTGATGCTGGCATCTTAACATACAGTAGTCACTTCTTGTCCCTCCCCCTCATTTATTCTCTGTGCACACCGGTCATCTCAGACTCCGTCGCCCCAGATGGGCAACAATCCTTCAAAAGGCCCTTCCGGAGATGCTCCGCCAAGTTCGGCCTCATCGAATTTATCCGTCCCAGGAGGCGATAAGAAGGTGAATCGCCGGCCGTCAACCAACGCGATATCCGGAGCAGCAAAGGCAGCTGCGGCCGACCCCTCCGCGTCTATTGAGACAGCAACAGGACATTCGGCCATAGCACATCAAACTCCAGTTCAGCAGCGCCTTCAATCGCGCAACATTACAGACTCTTCTAAAGGTGAATTCGAGCGACAGGATCGACATGATGCGAAGAAAGCAGAGCCTCACTACAGAGGTATCCCCTCACCAGATCCGTCAAACCCTGTGCAGGTACCAGTTTCTCGCTCTGCTGCCAGACATGATCCGACTGTAGCACCATCTGGCCCACCTCTCAACACATATTATAGTGCGTCCACCCACCTTCAACGTCCGCCTCGGATGCCCCTACCCATCGGCGACGCGACGGCTACTTCAGGTTCACCGATCATCGGACCAGAGGACTCACATATCGGTTTTGTCTCGGGCGACCGTCCATTGGGCGAACAAGCAAGTCAAGACAATGCAGGCATCAGCAACACTGCCGTTGACGATGAGGAGACGCTTGACGAGCTCGAACCATATACACCGAGCGGTGTAGGCAGGGCTGTACCAACATTTATCGAATGGAATGGTCCTGGAGAAAAAGTATACGTTACCGGGACCTTTGTGAATTGGGAAAAGAAATATCGTTTACACAGAAAGTATGTGACCCTCCACTTACTGCTGCTTCCCAATCTGTCCTCTTTGTCCATGGGCTTGCGAAACCGTCGTAAGGGCCAAATAAGTCCTTTCATTGTTTTCGGTCTTCGCACACTCTCCTCTTCTTTCCCGCCCTCCAATGCTGCATGCAACTTCTCGCTGTCTGGTCCCCAACAAGAGAATGGCACGAGTGCTAATCGATGATTCGTGAACAGCGAAAGTAATCCAGGGGTCATGTCCACAACGTTAAATCTCCGCCCTGGTACACACCATCTGAAGTTTATTGTGGATGGGGAGATGCGGGCTTCGGATAATTTGCCGACTGCAGTCGACTTTACGAATCATCTCGTCAACTACATTGAGGTCAGCGCGGACGACGTCAACCGATCGCGCAGGGGGAGTGATAGAACGAACAAAAGTACAGTTCCTTCAGGCGTTCACCCTCCCCAGGTTATTCCCGATCTTATTGGGAACGACCGCAATGGAGCAGATGTTGAAGATCAGTCAGACAAGGAAGAACCAGAGGAGATCCCCTTGGGAGACTTCCAGACTATTATTCCCCAATTTCTTGTCGATTTGGACAAGGATGAAGACAGTCCAGAATACCAGCAAGCCGCCAATGTGATTGGTGATACTGCTACGCCCCCGAGTCTTCCGCTTTTCCTGGGTAAATCGATCCTAAACGGCACGACGCCGATGAAAGATGACAGCAGTGTGCTCAACTATCCCAATCATACGGTACTCAATCATCTCGCAACGAGCAGCATCAAAAATGGCGTTCTGGCAACCAGTGTGACCACCAGATACAAACGAAAGGTAAGATCTCCGCCAAATTCCACCACCTTTTTCAGAGTATGAACTCACCCTCGCGCAGTATGTCACAACGATATTGTACAAGCCGACCAGCCACATCACGGGCTAGTAACCCCTAGGAAGAGGCGCTTGCTGCACACTCTCATACCATGCGTGAGCTAATGTCAGGGACACCGGGGTGTTTGCGGACGAAATGGTTGGATCAGGGACCCGCAGACTTTCGGTGTCAGTGACCCTTCGCTACTCCACTCGCCTCCCCAGATTCCACCAGAGGATCTGTTTCGACGAGAAAGACACTTCGTCGACTTTTTCATGGTCGTAAATTCCCGATAGATGCATATATGCAAGAGCTGTATCAATTCACATGCCTCACGGCGCATGGCTGCTGTCAATGCAATCACATATGATGGACAATTTCATTTATGACCACGCTGTTTACATCTCATTTCTTGGTTATTACAGCACGAATGTCGATATACAACTTCATCGATTGCCGCTGCCCGTTCCCACATTTCTGTACATTACCTCTTCCTCATGGGCCGGTACACGCTTGCGTTGCGGTCATTGTCGGGTCATCAGGTGACCTTCCTTTTCCCGTATTTATTGACTAGATTTTCCAAGCGATGTAGCATTTCTATTTCTTAGCATCGCGAAACTGCAGGACTTTTGCATACGAGATAGAGATATCAAACTCTCGAATACACGAAGGTCCCTAATGGCGACTCCCAGTATCACAAGGTCAATGACCAAAGGATTTTCAATGTCTATAGGCGGGATCGTATGTGTCCTCATCATGATTGGAGCTCATATTAATCTCTCCATTTTACAAACACGTCGTCTGTTCGGAAACGCTGCGTACAAGTCGACTCCTTCAACGGAGTTCGGAAACCCGTCTTGTACGCAAGCAAACCTGCCTGCGCGATCATAATTCCATTGTCAATACAGAATCTCTCATCCGTCGCATGGACACTACCACCGCGGTCGCGAGCCATGATTCCCATCATCTCCTGTAATCGTTCATTGCACCCGACGCCGCCGACTATGAGGACTTCCTTGGAGCCCACATGCGCCATAGCGCGCTCGGTAATCTCAACGAGCATGGAAAACACGGTCTCCTGGAGCGAAAAGCACAGGTCTGCGCGTCTGGGTTTAGAATTATCTCCCGCATCCTCCTCTTCTTTCTCTTCGCCGTTCAAGCCGTAGGATGCAGCCAATCCGTCAATGGCTGCGAGAATTCCCGAAAAGGAGCAGTCCATGCCCTTCACTGTGTACGGCAAATCAACAAGCTGCTTGCCCTTCTTCGCTAGTTGCTCGATGTTGTACCCTGGTGCGGGATCATTGGAGATGTGCAATGTTCGGGCAAATCTATCCAGGCAGTTGCCCACGGCGATATCGAGGGTTTCGCCGAAGATCCGGTACCTTTGCGAACTGTAGGCAATCACCTGTGTGTTGCCTCCTGAGACGTAGAGAACGACAGGATTGGTGGAGCCAGTGATAAGTCTGCCCATTTCAATATCTAAGCGAGTTGTTAGCTCTCTAGTAGGATTGTCGGGAGGCTGTCGAACGTTCAGGTCTCAGGCATGAGACCGCTAACAGCGTCTATGGTCACACATACGTCCAACGCAATGGTTCACACCAACTAATTCTTTGCCCCATAATAGACTCAGCGTCCGGGCAGCCACAGCGACGCTCTGGAGCGGAGCACCCATGCCAGGGCCCTTTGTAAAGCAGATGCAGTCCACATCACGGACTGAGATGCGAGCTTCTCTGAGCGCTCTCTTTACAAGCTTCACTACCCAAGAGCGATGGTGCCGCGCAGTATCTTTGGGAAGAAACCCCTCACCTGGAGGGGAGACATAGGTGTGACGAATATTGGCAAGGACCCGCGGGGTGCTGCCATCTTCGGGATGGAGCATGATGCCCACGCCAAGTTTGTTGGCAGAGCCTTCGAGTCCGATGGCAATCATGACTGGAACGAAACCTATTATCGAACAATTCTAAGATTCAAATTTCAAGAAATAATAATCACATCCATTAGAAGTTGTCTAATTCGTTACGGGGAACTCGTCTGCAGAGGGGTAGTCTCGGCTTTCATTCGCTATTTCTTTTTTTTCCCTTTTCAATCAGCGGCGTTATCTATTGGCGGACGGGCGGCTTGACACGGTGGTAGCGTTTATCCGACGACGGGGGTATACAATAAAGGTAAGCTAAATGCTACTCAACTACCAGCTCACTAGCACTGAGAACCCACTCCATATATTCCCCTCCCACAACGGTGGATTGCTCCTGTGATATCCCTCCGTTGTCTTGGAGTCTTCTTGAAATTGCTTTCTCTCTCCGTCTTCTCGTTACCTCCCCTCTACCTTGTCGAAATCGTCTGTGTGCATCTCATCTTGTGGGGGTCCGTTCATACTACTCCACCCACACAGGTCACAAACATTCTTCATCGGTAAAAGAATGTCGTCCTCAGCCCACTTTCCTGATTCCGACAGCTTCCAGCGTCAGTCAGATGAGTTTATCACATGGCTTGCTGGAAATCCGGGTGTGAGACTCAATTCGAAAATCAGTATCGCTGATCTACGGTCAAAATCTGCTGGAAGAGGTGTAGGTATGTGGCCACCCATCCGAAGGTTTTAGATTCATCACCTTTCTTTCCCTCCAGAAAGAAGTACCACCGTCAAAGTACCACTATCTGATCACCTATCTTTACATCATCAGTGGCTCGTTCCGATATCTTCGACGGCGAAGAGCTTTTCTCCATCCCCCGCGGACTCGTTCTGTCGGCACAGAATTCGAAGTTGAAGGATCTGCTCTCACACGATCTGGAGGAGCTCGGCCCATGGCTGTCCCTTATTCTGGTGATGATGTACGAGTATCTCTTAGGAGAACAATCTGCCTGGGCGCCGTATTTTAAAGTTCTTCCCAAGAGCTTTGACACGCTGATGTTCTGGTCCCCTTCTGAACTTCAGGAGCTGCAAGGCAGTGCAATCGTTAGCAAGATCGGGAAAGAGGGCGCCGAAGACTCGATCATGCAGATGATCGCACCGGTTGTGAGGGCCAATACCTCTCTCTTTCCGCCAGTTGAGGGCCTAGCCTCCTGGGACGGTGAAGCGGGTTCCCAGGCCCTTCTGGGTTTAGCTCATATCATGGGGTCCCTTATTATGGCGTACGCATTTGATATTGAGAAGGTCGAGGATGAAGACGATGAGGACAATGACGAAGAAGACGGTTACGTGACCGATGATGAACAGGATCAGTCTTCTAAAGGCATGGTACCACTGGCAGACATCCTCAACGCGGATGCGGATCGAAATAATGTGCGTACCCTTTCCCGCACACTCCCTCCTTGTGTTCCATATCAGTACTCATGTCCACAATCCTACAGGCACGCCTCTTTCAAGAGGAGGATTCTTTGGTCATGAAAGCCATCAAGCACATTCAGGCTGGAGACGAGATTTTCAACGACTATGGAGAATTACCCCGTGCCGACCTTCTAAGGCGCTACGGCTATGTAACCGACAACTATGCTCCGTACGATGTGGTCGAACTGTCGCTTGACCAGATCTGCCGGTCTGCCGGTCTTCAAAGTGCGGACATTGAAAGTCAGCCTCCGGTACCTACCACCTGCTCCGTTTGCCGGATTCCAACATTTTCTGCGGCTCGATTATTGACTTGACCCTAGCTTGCCTTTTTGGAAGATCTGGAACTCCTCGATGACGGATATGTCGTTCCCAGACCGTCGCCCGAGAACTCGCTGCTGACAGACATCCTTCCGGATGAGCTTCTCTTGTTGCTCAAGACGCTCACACTCTCACCGGAGCAACTAGAGCATCAGAAATCGAAGAGCAAACCCCCCAAGCCGTCTTTTGGCCACGCTGAAGCTGCTATTCTGCTAAAGACCATCCAGCTCTTGGGAAGCCAATACCCCACAACCATTGCCCAGGATGAGGAGGTCCTTTCGCGGCTAATTCAATCTGAAGCATCTCAGCCCCTGAACCAATCCGACCGACGACAGAAGATGGCTATACAGGTTCGCCTGGGTGAAAAATATATCTTGCAAACTCTGGCCGACATACTTGACGAAGTCATCACGAAGTCCGCTCAGTCCAACGGAGGGTCCAGTCTCAAACGAAGTGCCAACGGCGACTGTGGAGATTCCAGGAAAACAAAAGCTCCCAGGAACTGACATCTGCGAAGCACGTACCGCTACGCCTTACATTGATGGAAGGGATCATTCATCTCTTCTTTGTTATTTTCTTCGTTGCTGACATCAAGCTCCGCTATCCGTACACGAGTCTATCGGCTGATAGTTCTCGAAAAAAAGAAATCAAGAGGAAAGAAAACAGGCTATGTACACTAACATCCGCATAATTTCAGGGTCATGTCATGATAACAGGGGTTATCCACAACTGTCGTCCCTTGGACGAAATAGTTGGTTCGGAGTCAAGGTTAAAAAGGTGGCGGCTCGTGAGGTCAAGATATCAGAGGGACGGTAAAAGTACAGGTACAGAGGAATTTCGAGGTGAAAGAAGAAGCAGAGGGGAACAAGAGAATCGAGGAACGCCCGCCAAATGCAAGATATGAGTGGGGGAATTAAAAGAAGAAGACACGAAGACGAAGAGAGAAGAAATAAAGCCCAGCTCATATCTCACGAAGTGGAAGCGACGGCGCCAGGCCCGGGGTTCGATCCCATTGTCTGCCCCATATTCGGGACCCCATTGTTGGTTGTGGTTTGTTCGGCCTGCAACCGTTTCTGCGCTTGAGCCTGTGCTTGCGCTTGAGCTGCTTGAGCCTGCGCATGTGCTTGGGCGGCAGCAGCAGCTTGATCTCGTGCTTTAGCAGCCATTATGGCACGATGTTGCATGATCTGGACATCGTACGGATCACATTCGAATTCTGACTCATCGTCCGAATCCTCCCGATCATACTTGAATCGATCAGCCTTCAGCGGATCCAGTTCGATTCTACACCGCGACACCAGGTTCCGACGATCGATCATCAAACGACCGCCGCGCCCAATGCGCCTCCTGAACGACGGTATTCTGCTGGTGTCCTCGTTCATCTCCCATGTACGAGGAACTAGCTTATCTCGGAACGAGAGGGAATTGGCTGTATCTAAGGCAGAGTCCAACATCATATTGTCGGACGAATCTGAAGAAGGAGGGGTTGGCAATTGGGTGGTGATTGCCGGACGGAATGCTGCCTGGAATGTTTTCTCCGGAGGTGGCGAGAGAGGCGCTCTTGTGAAATCCACATAGCCCTCGTTCCACTTGATATGCTTCGCGATGTTCTGCTTGATATCCCGCAGAATCTCGTTTTCTTTCTCCGCCTGGACGTCTTCGAGCAGTTGCAGGTCGTCCGCAGCCTGTGTACCGGGCTTCTGTGGCATCCGGACCTGAGGAGCGGTAGGCCGTTGTGAAGCTGGCGCCTCCGCAGGCTTCTTCTTTGGCTGCTCCGACAAATTAGCAGACGCATGAGGAAATCGTGCTTGGGTTGAAGTTACCTTCTGGTTGATAAGGTCCTCATCATCGTCTTTGATGTTGAGTTTCCTCTTCATTTCCTTCACCTCAGAACGCTGCAGGAATATCTGCCGTTCCATCGAGAGCATCTCCTTTCTTGCCAACTCCCGCTGGCGCACCAGTGCAACCAACTGTCGAGCATCTTCCAGCTCCTTTCTAAGCCTGCGCAGTTTATCGGCACTTTGGGCATCTCTGCCGCGGGTCTTCCGAATCTGACGGACTTCACGCCTACGAAAGCAGACATACGGATCTGTATCATCGGTTTCTTGACCAGTTTCGAACTGCTCACGGTCAGTCGTGGGGAATGGATAACGATGCGACGAGGTCTGCTCACCTTGAGACTCGGTAGGAGTGGGCGGTTCCCAGTGGCGATCCGTCGCAACTGCCAGTGCTCATATATGTCCTTTGCAAAACGCTTGACGCTCTCCTCTACAGTTGCATCCATTGAGTCTTGCATGTCTGCGAAGCTCAGGACAGGAGGGCTATCTACAGCTGCAAATGGTTGCTTTGTCTGTGCTGTCTCCTCGAAGAAGTACATTACCTCCTCGAATTGATCCTCTGTGATCCGGTTCGACGGCTCCCGCTTCTCGTTGAAGATCTTGAGGAAGACGTCGTCCTCTTCGGTCATGTTATACGGGCATCCGCAACAATCCTCGACAGTCGAGGAGAAGCGGATGTATGTCGCCGGCTGCGAGAAGATGGGGGGATAGAGCTCGTCATATCGAAGATTACTGAGGACGGTCTCTGGTGTGGGAATGTGAGCTTCGTTCACTTTTCCTTGGGCAGTCGCGCTGATAGCGGCTTGGAGATGGAATTCCTATCGAAAACAGGGTTAGCGAACGCTGTTTGGAGCCCAATATATCGCCTGACAAAATTTTCACTATGAGGTGAGGTTGTGATATGATCACGTGATACATGCAGGGATGGCTAAAAATTAGTCGGGGAAAACACTGACCGACTCCTCAGCCTTCTCGACACCAGTTTCTACCTGTTGTAAGGCATTATGGACCTCATCATCGATGACATCGATCTCATGTTCCCGGACAATGGGGATTGAGGCCTTCGAGGTGAGCTTTTTTGGGCGCGTCCTCCCCATACCCCCGTATCTAGTCATACGAACTTTGGGGCGCAAATGCGGCAACGACCATGGGACAGCGGTCCCAAAATTAGTATGTATCGATAGGCCTGATCATGCGAAAGCTCGTAGACGTATTTTTTTGATGAAAATCGATGGATGGTGGAAGATATTGACGACTGAAATCTCGTAGTATCAGCACTGGCGGTTGAGTTGACGTTGTAATGTCACCCAGACGTGGCCTGTCTTAGGCTGGCGCACGGCCTCAGGGGTTCGCTTGCCTCTCCGTTTCCGGCTAGTGCGGGGCTGGCCGATATCAAATTGATGAACGGGTGATGTCCTTGGCATGTTATGAGCTACGTAAATCCTGGAGCCGCAACCAGTGGGTAGCTGAATAGCCTTTCCTACTCGCCATCACTCCTCAAAGTTATCCGCCACTGGCTGTGCTGTTCCTGTTGATTATCACAACTAGGTTAATAAGCACTTTCCACTAGCCTCTACTGCACATCTATAGTTTATTTTATTCATAATTTCCCCACGCTTTTATCTCAACTTTTGCATACCCCCTCAACCACACACGACCAATAGCCAACATGGAGCATCCCAGTGAACCAAATAACGCCGCTATGTATGATGCACGCAGACGTAGAGCATCTGTTGGGACATCACAGTTATTAGACAACATTGTCTCGGCTTCAAACTGTCAGTCTTGACCAGCGAATTTTTCTTTACCCTTGAGACCGCGATCTAATCATCAGCAACAGTCGACAGAGATGAGGTGGACAGGCTCCGCAAGCGATTCATGAAACTTGACAAGGTCCGATCAATACGTGAAGGATTATATGAATAATATGGCTTAAAACTGCCGCAGGATAGCTCCGGCACGATCGATCGTGACGAGTTCCTTTCCCTCCCACAAGTGTCCTCCAACCCGCTCGCAACGAGGTACGTGGACAGACATTAGATGGTGGCGCCGTGGAGGAACAACCAGGGCGTTGGCGATATGCTTACCGATACACAGAATGATTGCGATCTTCGACGAAGACGGAGGCGGCGATGTCGACTTCCAAGAGTTCGTGTCCGGGCTGTCGGCTTTCAGCTCCAAGGGCAACAAAGAGGAGAAGCTCCGGTTCGCGTTCAAGGTCTACGACATCGATCGGGACGGCTACATCTCCAACGGCGAGCTGTTCATCGTGCTGAAGATGATGGTGGGCAATAATCTGAAGGACGTGCAGCTGCAGCAGATCGTGGACAAGACGATCATGGAGGCGGATAAGGACCGCGACGGCAAGATCAGCTTCGAGGAGTTTACGGAGATGGTGGAGAATACCGATGTCAGCTTGAGCATGACACTGAGTATGTTCTAGCAGGGTGTTCCAAGGAAAGGACAAGACTGACCGACTGTGTTTGGACAGGCCAAATCTAAGCGTTGCACATGAGTATATTCGAATCTTGCTATCTGGCGTTGTTGTTCTTTTAATCTGTTGCTTGCCGCCGTCGAATGCTTGCCGGTCCTTTCTGCCCCTTTGGCTCTGACATGAATTTCACGATCATCGATGATCAATGACCTGTAGTTTATCCTGGCATCCTTGAAGGAACCACAGACACGATGACATGCACATATACAGTCCATGACTATCCAATATATATATATATATATTACTCACGCGTGTGGCTATAGTATAAATTGCGAGTATATATAGGCGGTGGGTGGTACATACATCAAACGACCAATATCCTCATTACAGAGAACATAATCAAGAAGGAAACAAGACATATAAAATAACCCCAGTCCTTTCAGCGACTTGATCCAGATTTGTCATTTGTCGACGGGGGTAAGGTACTGGATGGTGTCAACACAAGCTACCGTACCCTATTTTGCTCGGCAGTTTACTTTTATCCACGTAAATAACCTAACAAGGAACCCAAGAATGTCAACGCCTTTCAAGGGTTTATACCTCTGTAATCTACTAAGTATGTAGAATGTAACACCACCACATAACAAGCGGAATTTCTCATATATACGTACCCATAGAGGTTAGCTACGCATATCGGCTGGGAATATATATATGCATGCAGATGAGCCTACCTCTGCTAGTGATTTGACCAATATTCCTGTTCAAGAAGGTCCAAAAAATGGCATGCTGCATGTGTCTAGCTATGGGATGAATAATAAATTCCATACAGCTGCAGCTCATCACCATCCGTTTATCCATGGGATTTCACGTCCCGATCTACGGAGTATCCATCGACTATCCTATCTAGGTAGCCCCTTGGTAACGTGGATACGATTAGTGTTATGGTTTAGACTAGCGTCCCGCGGAACCGGGAGCAACTCCCGACCCTTGGTGATGGGACCTGATCTGTGGAATACTCCGATGTCGAAAATGTGAGGAGTCGAGTGTAGTCGAGTGTAGTGATATCACCATGTTTTCATTTGGAGGAACCACTTCGGACCTTCCGTTCCCTCCGATCCCATTTCCATGTTTCTCAGAAGGCTTGAGTTTGAGTTTGATAGATTTTCCACGTGTTGATTTAAACGTAAACTCTGGGTATCATGAATGTAGTCATGGACTGAGATGGCAATCGAACGTTTCCTAAAAATCTAAGAGATTGCACGCCTTAAAACTACTCCCTAATGCTCGCTTTGTGCGGATTCATGTAGATAGGGGTCGAGACGACCACTTCATGGTGACGTCTCGGTCATGTCTTGGTTATGTTTAGTCCTGATCATCCGCCCCCACATCTTTCCTCCAGCGGAGCTGAGTCTGGTCACTGGTCACTTTGACATTATTAGACAAAGTGAGGCTACTTGGCATCCAGAAAGAGGAAGAAGAAGAAGCGCCGCGATTGGACTGTCAGATGTAGGTTGGGGATCATGGACGATCGGAGTCCGGCCTGATGACCGCGACCAAGGAGTCGGATCGCGCCTCGTTGTGCTCTCTCACAAATCACAATCGTGGTGATAGCCTTGCGGGTTCCGAACCTGAAAACCGGGACGTGCTAGTCTTGCACCGGCGCTATAGGCGGCCGTATCGAGTTTGGATTTGTGGCCCAATTTGCGTTAGCAGGTTCATGCCCCTACTGCTTCGTTCTGTTGAAGTTGTGACAGAGCAGACCACATAGAGGAAAAAAAAAAAAAAAAAAAAAAAAAAAAACCCCAAAAAATTTCTATCGCTAGAAAGAAGTGATATATCCTGAATACGCTCAGAAAGACCCTCCCACTGGTTGCACCGGAAATGCGAAGAAAGAGTTACGCTTGAGGGGTATATATACAAAATCGGATGTTGTCTGAGGAGACCCCAATGAAAATGAGACGATACTGGGTAATATGCGGTTTCACTCTCCTGTCTCAGGAACAAGAGCGCCAGAGATGAGAATGGTGATGGAAGACCTCTCAGGGCAGATGCCTATCCAGGAGGGCTTATGGTAGCCCTGCGGGGGAAGCCCTTCAGGTCTTCGTGCTTCGCGGACAATGGAGCCGGGGAATGAAATGGCCTAATTCCCCGCCCTGCTCATAATGAACGAGAGACGTGCAGTCATGGACACATGATTCAAGGAAAGTGCTCCGTAGTGCGGGCTGAGAAATGAGGAACAGGACCACCTGGTGGTACTTTGTAGTCCGTCACGGTCGTATGAACCATAAATAGTGGCCGCTTGGACTCATGGGATTCGTTGTTGAGAACTAATTTAGTTCCTGCGTTAGGCAGACGCGAGCGCAGCCACAGAAGTACGGAGTACGACCACGCCATTGGGGAAAGTGAGTTCGGACACGGCGGGGACCATCACTCAGGACCGCGAAGTGGTGGCTGCGGCGGCGCTCACTCCATGTGCGTGCACATTATCTGGCTGGCTTTCTAACAGATCGATACATTCCCCGAGGACTATGCGATGAGTCGCCGGATCAGATAGCTGTGCCAAATTTCTTGAAAAGGATCTCTTTCTCGACTAATGTAGGGCTCTTACCACAGAGTATCTCCTCCTCCCAAATGCCCATCTGATAGTCCACCAGCCCATGCTGCTCCATCTGATCACATAGCTGAATAAGTTCTCTGCCCATATCGTCCAAACGATTGCTAGTGAGCATTGAGGTGTTGGACGGTTGATGGCCGGTCCGCAACACCTCCTGTGTCATATCTTTCTGTCTTTGGCAGACAGCCAACCAGCAGATGTTGAAGTCATTCCATAATTGCAGTCGATCCGAATAGAACATCGGATCGTCGCTCAAAATGCCTAGGATTGGTTAAAGGTCAGCAACTAAGACGCCTCATCATGAAAATTGATCTTCATATGCCCGCTACGTAGGCTCGAAGGTATCATCGGCGAGTGCCAAGAGTGTGATCAACGGAAAACAAATGATGTATTCAATGTGCACGTAATATTGTATTCAATGTTACCATAAAAAGGTACGATTCTTGAAGGACGGTGGATAAAGTGATGAGTGGGAATCCGAAGAAACGCTAGGGAAGAAACATACCAAGTTCCCGCGCATTAGTGACAAGCCACTCGGAAATTTCCAAGAGTGATCGCCCAGCCTCTACCAATCGGCCGGCGCGAATGTGATCAAACGTCGACCGCAAGACTCGTTGAAATCGACCATATTCTTCATTCAGATTTGTCGAATCCGGAGTTACATGCTGCTGCTGCTGCTGTTGCTGTGAATGATGATGCTGCTGCGGCTGAGACCTTGCTGGTTGCTCCAAACGCCTCGCCGTTGTCCCCACAGGGGTAAATTCGGCCATGTTTGCGGGAAAGGGCTGCATTGCGCTCGAGCGCCCAATGGGACCGGGCTGGTTATAAGCAGATGACGAGAGGTGCGAGTTTAGGTAGGGCGAAACCTCTGCAGGGACCCCTGTTGCCATCGGCTCATTAGTTGGAAAGTACTGTGGAACAGCAAATTGGCTGGGCAGGGCATCAATCGCTGCAGACTGCCGTGCTGAGTACTGTGGCACGACCTCGTACGGATTTTGTGTCGGACCTTGCTGACTGAGATTATATACCATCTCCGATTCATACGCGCCGAAGGGTTGCTGTATCGACTGCTGGCGCTGTGGTTCGCGCAACGTCGTAGGATATGGTTGTAATTCGTCCCCGTGCAAGGAATCACCCTGAAACGCAGTGTCTGTGTATCCATAGTCCATGTAGCCTGACAGTCGAGATCTTGTCGCTGCTTGCGACAATCCCGGATGGTTTCCACGTGCTGAAGGTTGGCCATGCTGTCGAAAACGATCCGCAGCACCGCGGGATGAACCGGGGCCCCCTCGACGTGTCGACCCCGAGCTGGTTGTGGAACTGGAGGGATCATGCTGCTTCATGCGTCGGCTATCGCCATCCATACCACGCTGTCGGTCCCACGAGACCCTGCGCCCTGGATGGAGGTCAAGAGACCAATGCGCTTCGGGGGAGAGCGGAGGACTCGCGTATGGTTCCAGTTTGCCGGGATGGTGTAGTTTGGTCGTTAACGACGTCGTCTGTTTGAAATCCTTTACAAGGCGAGCTCCTACTCCCTCTTCCACTCATTCATAGACTGGTACAAGCAGTTCGGAACGGCACTCTTACTATCGGATGTGCCGAGTCTCGTGGCGAGTCTCTGTTCGGTTCAATGTACCGTGTTGCGCAAGCATGCGCAGTCTGGTATCTATCAGCAATTATGAAAGAAGATGTTTGACAACCAAATTGAAATGCAAAATATGTACGCATGATTGGCAACAACTTACCTCTCTGATACAGTGACACCCTCTCAAGTCGTGGTTCTTTGAGAATGGTAACCTCCTCTGATAGAGAACGAAACGCACAACCGTGCGGGTAGAATGACAAAGTGCGGAAGAGAACCAGGGGTAATAATAATTTTTCTATGATTCAGAAAAAGATACGACCCAATGACCGTAGTCCTGTAATTGCAGCCCAAGCAACCTGCTCTGACAGGTGAGGGACACCAGAGACTGCGTGGAGAGTGGGGGAACAAGAGCGCAAGATGGGTTGCAAGATATACTTCGATTGACAGTGACTAGAATAGATCAAGAAATAAGCGGTCTCTAGGGTATATATTTAAACTCTCTGGAGAAGGCAGGATCAGCATCTAGGGGCTGTATCGTTTACAAGCAGTGCAATAGAAGGGAGAGGCTGAAGTATTGATGATCTCTTGGTGGTCTCTATTGATGCGCTTACATCCAAGCAAGCGAGCAAGCAAGCAACAGAAAAATGGGTAAAATTAAATTAATTGAATTAAAAATAAAAATAAAAGAAAAAGAAAAAAGCAAAAAAGAAATACGCACACATATATGACGAGAACGAGGAGGAAAAGTAAGGGTAAAAAAATAAAGGAATGGGGGGTTAAAGAGACAAACAAAAAAAAAAGTAAAAAAAAAAAGCAAGTGATCTATTTCCAAGTTAGAAGACAGCAGCAAGATCTTCTGCTTCGAATAATCATTATTATTACTATTGTTCTATCATACATGACATGGTCCATACATGTCTTCTGTCCATTTTGCTTTTTGTGTCCACTTGACTCGGTCAACCCGAACGTGATGGCGGATGTTACTTGTTTCTTTTTTTCGTATGTTCCGAGCCATTGGGGGCAGAAATTCTCTTCTGGCGCGGTTTCTATCAATACTACCTATATCATGCTGTACTAAGTGCTGCCCTTTACCCTATGATTCGTGCTGTAGTCCTGTTGTTGGGATTCTTATGGGTCATCATTGGGCAGCATATACCCGAGAGCGTTTTCTGAGGATGCTCTAACTCATCTGACCTAGCGAGTATATACAGGAGAAAATCAATATTTCTGCTTATATGGTTGGATCACCAGGATGGGAACGCATACTAAAAGAGTAAATGAACGAAAATGACAATTAGTGATTTGAGATGATTTTATTAAGCCTATGCGAAGATGCGGAGCTAATCGGTCCTTCCATTGTGCTGGGGCGCACGATGATGCAGAGAGACCGAAAGAAACAGGTCAGAAAATGGACAGATCCAGGTCGACAGAGGGGAATGACCGATAAGGTTGAAGAACAGGGCCACTAGGTTTTCTAAAGTAAGGTACCACTAGCTTTGTCTTAGACTGGAGTCACCCGAGTACTCGAACATATTATTGTTGCCCTGCCTTGTATTCTTTGGTCTGGTCTAGTCTACAGTATTTGAGTATTAGAACCCGACTATGAGCAAGTCAGGGCCACTATATGATGCTGTCCTGCTTAGCGCTTGGCTGATCTTCCATTAAATCCACTCCAGGGATCTTCGTCATTCCTGTTGATCATGTTGATGGCTCGATTTTGACAAATCCCACTTGACCCCAGGAGCCCGAGACACTGGTACACCCCTTGTGGCTGCTCAGAGGTTAAACTTTCTCAATGATTAGCTCCATCTGGTAGAATCTTGAAAAACAAAGTACGAACAAGGCGAGAGAGAAAGAGAGGACTCGGTGAAGAATGGACCGAAGAAGAATATCTTGCCATTGTACTCCGATCCTCAGTAAAGGAGAAAAATCCCCCAGAGGAGATAAGCACAAAGTACGTACCCGCCTGTCCACAAGTGACCTCCAAGTCATAGTCTAGACAGCCACCGCCAAACTGACGGACGAACTCTATTAGTCTCTTCTAGAACAAAATTATGCTGTGTTTTCATAGACACCAGTGCAGAGGGCACTGAGTCGGTATCGGCATTATTATCCCTTGTCTCCCAGAGACACAGCGCCGAGTTTTGTCATTGAAAACGAGCCAACTCGTGCAAAAATAGCGAAAAAGACAACGAGGATACTGTGACGGACGATTACTGACTACTGAGTACCTGGCTAAAGACAATCGACAGGATTGACCTGCTGGCGACCGGAATCCTGGGAAAAGCCATGCATGCAGGACGGACCAACCGATTGGTAGCTTTTCGAGTTTAGAAACCAAAAAGGGCCCCAGCAGTGCTTGGAGATCTGCAAGAGATGTCACCCACTCCTACTAGAATCCTGACAGATCGTGCTATATTCCCAGGGAGGTAATGGGATGAATGATTTTAGTCACAGTTCAAGCTATAGCAGCTAGTGTGCGAGGGGACCGGGCCCTGGCGTCAGATCGGGGGGAACTGACGGCTGCGGCGTGATCCAATAGAACTCATGATCGGTATTTGTTGATTTGAAATACTTCGCCTGGGACGCAATTAGTAGTAGACTGAGTGATTACCTTGTATTTCCATCCTGTTGCTGTCCTTCCCATGATCTTCCAGCTTCGCAGCTTTGCCAATGATACTACGGACAGTCCGAGTGAGGCGTGCCAGGCCGCCAGCTGCACGTTAGTCAACCTTCAATGCGAACAATTGGGATATGTGAGGGGCTGTCACTAGTGCAGAATCATACTACTTGATCTCTGTTCATGAAAGCTCATTGTCAATGCCAAACCGAGAGTTGAATGTCAAGTTCGACCTCCAAAATATCAAAGCAGAGCAACATACGTTAGGTGAAAACAATACACATGGCATACTGAGGTAACAAACATATATTGAGCATCATCGAAGGGCATCATAAAAATGACTTCTGCCTGCCATTATGATTACCAAATATATCCATAAATTATAGCCATAGACCGGCAGGAACATTGTAAACCGACCCAGGAGATGACAACTATGATCAAAGTCAGAATCAGCAATGTGCAACCCTCCTCCAGCGAACTCTTCACTCGGCCCTCTCAGTATCCAGGCTCCCTCTTTCTCCTCAGTTCACAGACCGATGATCTCAGCGCCACGTTGCCAATAGCAATACTTAGCTGTGATAGTCTGAGTTTGAGACCGCGACACATGATCCCTTCATCGACCTGAAACTCGAGACTCAGGACTCGGACTCGAGGAGAGCTCAACGGCAGTGTGTGTATTGTGTAACATTGGTTCTCATTTCTGTCAGCACTGGGCTGGTCCGTCATCGTACAAGGTCCGCGCAATCCCTCCCCTCTCGTCCAGAAATCCGTGCGCCTCTTTCTGTTCCTTTTTACATGTTTGGATCTTTCAATTGGGTTGCTTGGTTCTTCTGCATTCGGGCTACAGTTTGGAATTTGGACCGAGACTCGGGAAGTTAGAATCGTCTTGGTTAGTGTGCACTGATTTGACAGTAGTAGGAGTCGTAGTTCTGCTGCCGGCCTTTTCAATGTTCGTCCAGTGTTTGTCACAATTCTAATCAATCGATTTCATTGTCATCTGAGGGTAACGCCCGATAAGAGTCAAAGTAAGGTACATTGCTTGTCGCCGAGACCACTAATGCAAGTGTCTTGTCTTGAAACAAACCGCCATGGCACTCACGGTGATGCGGAGGATTCGAAGGTATATTCATTCAAGAATCAAGATGGCAAGTGAGATAATGATACAGGTTGGGGAAATAAAAACAGTAAATGGTGTAAAGAACAGACAGCACGCCAGGACCAAGAGAGAATAAACATGCCTTCATCTCTTGACCCAGGTTGGCATCTTGCGAGCCTTGACGTGACCGGGTTTCTTTCTCTCGACGCGACGAGCATCGACGGTAATGACACCAGCTAGAAAGATTGTCCGTCAGCAATATTCTTACTGTCCACCGAAGCAGTATCATCTGTAACGTACCTTTTCGCAAAATCGGCTTCAGCGCAGGCTCGTGGACGAGCAGTGCCCGTGCAAGGGCTAATGTGATGGCCTCTGCCTGACCAGTGACTCCACCTCCTCGAACAGTAGCCCACACATTATATTTGTCTAGTCTCGACGTGCATCTCAGCGGCCAAGTTGCGCTCTCACGGTCGTGCAGACGGGGAAAAGCTTCTGTCAGCGTCTTGCCGTTGACCATGACCTCACCCTCGCCTTCGACCAGGTGGACCACCGCCGACGAGGTCTTGCGCTTCCCCTTGCCGCGAGCTCGGCCCATCTCGTCCACTGTCGCCGGTGCCGGCTTATTTCCGTACGGGTTACCAGGCCGAAGAAAGGTCTTCAAGGTGTCGCGGACTTCCCCGGGGAGAAGGGCAGGGTCAATGCGATTGAGTCGCTGCAGAATCTTGACCAAGCTCTTGTATTTCTTCGTCGGTACGGGCTCGCCGACAAAGTCACGGAACTGTGCGAGTTTGAACCATGCCATTCGAGGAGCTTCGCTTGGGGACACCGTAGGTAGCGATGCGTACTTGGCGCAGATACGTTCCAAATTCAATAAATGATCGATGAACTTGGGACTGCCGGAGAAGTAGGCCGGTGATGCGGGAATGACCCGAGCAGGACGAGTAGCAAGTTGGGAGAAATCGATCTCGGGGGCTGCTCGTACCTGGAGAGCATTTCCACCGGCGGTTTGGACCTCAGTTGCATAACTTCGTGTACCTTTTCGCTGTTGTAACGAGCTTCCTGAAGCAACTGTGGAGGTTCGGAGGATGGACTGCAACTGAGCTGTTCGGACCGACCGCACCGCCTGAACGATGCAATTAGGCCTCTGCCACGCCATAATCGAGGAAACCGGCAGGCAGGAGCCTTGCTTAGACCGTGGGACAACTGTCAATGAATGTAGGGGGAGGGAGAAATAGTAGCAGTGTGGCCACCCCGTCGAAATCCTAGCCTATCCTTGTTCTGCCGTTATTGGGCAAGCCTGAGGTTTTTCGATGACATATCACGTGAGCGACCAAACGTTCCTCCGATCGCCGACGCCGAGTCGTGATTCGCACAAAATTTCGTCGTTCTTTTCCGCCAGAACCCCTCAGGTGTCGCCCTTTTTTTTTATTTGAACAGCTTCTCCTTTTTCCCACCCCTCCTCCTCCCTCTTCCTCTCCTTTTCCTCCCACATCTCCCCATCTACATCTCACATTCACAATGGCTTTCGGAAAGCTTTACGGTCTTCCTGTATGTGTTATTCTAGATAATCAGCCCGATTGATTTCCCTGGGTTTGATGGATTACATCCATCCAGCTGCCTTGCTTCCCCTGCTTAGGACAGCTGGCTAATCGGAAACACTCAAAACAGGAGAACGGTCGTACCATCGCCGCCCTCGTCGCTGCCAAGTGCAACGACTTGGAGGTCGAGCTGGTCAAGACTGAGGCCAACTCTGCCGCTGCCTTCAACCAGTCTGCTGAGTACCTCAAGCTCAGCCCCCTCGGCAAGATCCCTGCCTTCGAGGGTGCCAATGGCTTCACTCTTTCCGAGTCCATCGCCATCGCTGTCTACGGTATGTTTCAATTTGCTTTAATGTACCTCTTTTCCACGACCAGCTATGTCGAACTCCTTTACATGATGAGCAATTTTTTATTACTAGTTATCCCTGGCAGAACTACTGTGTTGATAACATTACAACTCTGAATTTCTTGGTTACCCCGCCTTTTGGCAGAAAATTTCCAAAAATGGAATTGACCTTGTTTCATCGTCGCAAACCACCACTGGTCCTGAACATTTTGAGACTGACTGGATTTAAGTGACCTCCCAGAACGAGAAGACCACTCTCCTGGGCAAGACCAAGCAGGACTACGCTGCCATCCTTCGCTGGCTCTCGTTTGTCAACTATGAGGTCCTCCCCAAGCTCGGTGCCTGGTACCGCCCTCTGATGGGTCTTGACGCCTACAACAAGAAGAACGTTGAAGATGCCGCCAAGGCTGCCAACAAGGCTCTCGCCGTCCTTGAGAAGCACCTCACCGCCAACACCTACCTGGTCGGTGAGCGCATCACCCTCGCCGATTACTTCGGTGCCTCTCTCCTCACCCGCGCTTTCGCTACCGTCCTGGACAAGGCTTGGCGCTCTGAGAACGTTGCCGTCGCCAGATGGTACAACACTATCATCAACCAGGCTCCTTTCAAGGCCGTCGTCCCCAGCCCTGTCTTGGCTGAGGAGGCTATCAAGTACACTCCTCCCAAGAAGGAGGAGAAGCCCAAGGCTGCCCCTGCCAAGGCTGCTGCTCCTGCTGCCGAGCCCGAGGCGCAGCCTGAGAAGAAGCCCAAGCACCCTCTTGAGGCTCTTGGCAAGCCCGAGTTCGTCCTTGATGAGTGGAAGCGCCAGTACTCTAACGAGGATACCCGCCCCGTTGCTCTGCCCTGGTTCTGGCAGAACTACAAGCCCGAAGAGTACTCTCTCTATGCTGTTGACTACAAGTACAACAACGAGCTGAAGCTCACCTTCATGGCCAACAACCTGATCGGTAAGGATTTGACTTCTTTGGCTCCATACCGCTCCCACTTTCTGACTTTCCATCGCAGGTGGTTTCCACGCCCGTCTCGAGGCTTCCCGCAAGTACCTCTTCGGTGCTCAGTCCGTCTACGGCGAGAACTACAACTGCGTCGTCCGCGGTGTCTTCCTGGTCCGTGGCCAGGACTGGAAGCCCGCCTTTGAGGTCGCCCCTGACTGGGAGAGCTACGACTTCCGCAAGCTCGACCCCTCCAACCCCGAGGACAAGAAGCTCGTCGAGGACATGTGGGCCTGGGATACCTCCGTCACTGTTGACGGCAAGGAGTACCCCCACGTTGATGGTCACGTCTTCAAATAGACGGCGTTCTGAAAATGCTATCAGCGACCTCGTGATGTCCTCTCTTCCCCTCATGACATTGGGTTAGCTTCTATATGAACTCGAGCCTTGGCCATAAGCCCTTTCGTTTCAGGATACACCCCATACGTACCTGTTACCAAAGGTCTATGGGCCTGGCTTTCCATTGATATCCCTCTCGCCCTCCTCTGCGCCCAATTGACCCGCCTAATGTCTACGTTGCCCACGACTGAATGGTTTACGTATTTTCATTCGTCGACTTGACTTTCAAAAAAGCTCCTCTTCCTAAAATGCATGGATATTGTATATCCACGCTAATGATATCTTGAGATGTGGAATGATAGTAGCTAGTCTAGCCATGAAGAAGCCAAAAAGCACTTCTTGATCCTAGCAGTTTTCTGTTTCTAGTATTTATCCAGTAATATGTTCGATGCACGCCGTCCACGTAAATGGTGCATTTGAAGCCGCCATGTATTCTCTTGACAAGCGTCACGAGGCTCAAATTACAATGTATCTAATCAAAACACCGATAACTTCACACCTAATTTTACAGTAACAAATAACAGGGGTATCCTCGTCATGAATCAATAAACGCAAGACCAAAAAGTCAATCAGTCGCGGCGAACATTTAACGACTCCTCTAGGCGATCGAGAAGGTAGTTTTCCGATTGCACTGAGGAGGGGGGAGAGGGAGAACGTCTGGCATGCGATTGCGGCACATTTGTAGCTCTTGGGATAGCACTGTCCTCAGCCGGAGTAGCTGGGGTGCTGTCGGTCGGGGTAACCCCTCCGATGACCCCCTCTGCAGTTATGGCAGACACAGCGGCGGTAGCCAGTCGCGCCGCTTTTTTCTCCTGTTTGCGAGCTCTTCGTCTTTCCTTGCGTGCCTGGGCTATTTCCTGGGGTGTTGACGGCGTCGTCGAAGAACTCCCGGTTTGCTGTTGTGAAGACTGATTCACCCCGATGTAGAGATCAAGGATTGTGGCGTTAGCCGCGAGCTTCGAGTCCCAGAGCCGGAGCAACTTGCTGACGTCGTCATGCTGCGCTAGGGCATCAAGGCATTCCAGGACTTTGGGAAATATGCGAAACTCATCAATACCCGGTGCGTTCGTGAACTCCGGGATCTCGAGGATGTTGTAGGGCTCGCTGAGCGCTTTGAGCTTGCTGTCATCGATGAGAACGGTGTTCGTCTGGTCCCACCGTGAATTCCCTTGCGCCGCCTTTTTCTTCGTTTTAGACCGACCTTTCTGATGGGAGCTAGGGTACGAGGCTTGAATCTCTTGATTGCTCCACACTGTCTCTAGGGTCTTATAGACCTGCACCTTTGACCTGTACTGAGCTTTGGAGAGGTTCAACTTATCGCGGCCCCATTCAGCTACCAGTGACTTTCTTTTCTCGCCAGGAAACAGTTTCTCGCAAACTGCGCCTACCGTCTCTGGTTGCGAACTGGACCAGATCATGACTTTGTAGTTTTTCAACAAAACGTCCAAAAACTGGTCCAGGCCAGTCCTTTTGACGAAAGAAGGGGGCAGACGTCTGTGTTTTCGAAATATCAGAGTGCCGTTCAGGTCAAGAATGACCAGTAGAGGTTGGCGGTTGGGATGTAGTTTCGGGGCCAAGGACGATTGCGTCAGATACCCCTTAGTCGGCGCAGGAGGCTCCGGGGTCTTAGATCGCCGGTCACGCGGTGGGATTGGGAGCAATGGTTGCGGTGTTGGACCCTGAGAATTGCCTCCAGTATGGCCGGCTGTTGTAGGATACATTGGGTCGAAGGCACAGAACGGAAACCCGCCGAAAACTGGTGGTACCAATGCTGGACTGGAAACACCCAAGTTCATAGGGGGGAATGGGGGCATTGGAGGCATGAAAGGTAGTATCTTTCCAGGATTATTCAAGTCTGGCATTGGCGGGAAACCGTAAGGGGTAAACGGGAGGTTATTGGGCAAGGTTTGCGATTGTGGTGGTTGCAAGTTGGATAGGTGTAATGGGACAAATGGCTGCCGCATAGCCGTGTTGATAGGAGAGTCTGCTGTACTGGATGGTATAGGCAAAACGGGAAACGAGTTGATATTCGGGTCAAATTGCGGATTAATAGACGGCGCATTGAAGGGCTGCTGTAGTTGTATGTACGGAACTTGAGCTGGTTGAGAGCCTGATAGTTGCGGACTATACGGTGACGGTTCTTTTGACATTTTGTCAAAAGGTCTGGCATTGCGCCGTGTACCATTTTCCCGCAAACCGCTCGACACAGCATTGTCAGTTCCGGGAGAAATCAATGTGTCGGAGCGCCAAAGGGCGTCGTTCGAATCCCAGCGACCTTGATACGGCCTCCATGATTTCTTCAGATTTTGGCTTGTATCGGGCAGACCATTATCGTTCTGTGGATGATATCCTGCTCGAGGTGTACCATCTCTCACAGGTTTTGACCGTCTCATTCCTAGATCTTCGAGAGCACTGCTGACCGTAGCTTGTAATTGGGGTTTCTTCAACGAGTTGATATGTGGTGGCGACGTCAAGGTAAAACTGGCTGGCACTTTGGGATGGGGCAGAACCTGTACAGGAGAACCCAATGTTCAGTCGTCGATCGTCGACCATGGTGATCATCTGTACCTGGATTTGTATACACACCTTCTCGGACGCCCCGCCTTGGAGCATGCGGCGATAGGCAGCAGTCACTGATAGCGGCAGAGATGAGATAAATGAAGCAAGCCTAATGAATGGATGGACCCAGCGCCCGAAAACCATGAAGTAGACGAAGAATTGACGCTATACGTAAGGAAAGAAAGAATGATCGAGATTGACTGCGCTTGGATGGGTGGAAGAACGGCAAAATAAAAAGGCGACAACAGACAATCGCCGCGCGGAAAGAAAAGCGGCCAACAAGAGTCCCGCCGCCGGACTCACCGCCTTATTTAGTGGCAGTATAATCGACTTTTTCTGCGCCTGGTCTTCACCGCCGCAGAGTATTCGAGGCACAGCTGGTTATCTTATTCTTTGCTGCAGTCCATTCTCTGATATACGTATCGAACTGAAGCTACTGAAGAGGATGGCGGTTTCTGATCTTCTCAACCGAAGAGTACGAGCTCTACCAGATGAGGACGAAGAGGTTTACTCGGAAGCATCTGCATTCGAGTCGGAAAGTAATGATGAAGAGGTTGAGGAATCCGGATCGGATCTTAGCGATGATAGCTCAGAAGGGGATGGTGGCCCTGAGGTAAGTCTTCCGAAACCTTGCGCCAGACATCCCACGTTTCTAAGAGTCATCATCAGTCCCAAGAAGAGTCAGATGCCATGAGCGATGAAAACGAGGAAGATGATGAGGACGACGAAGACAGCGACAACGGCCAAGACGATGTGCAGGCTTCATTAAGCAATATCTCTTTCGGCGCACTCGCCAAAGCGCAAGCCTCATTAGGCCCCAAAGCCAAGCGCAAATCCAAACCCGCGCAGTCAACAGCAAATGATGGAGAACCCACGGCTGCCTCCCCGTTAGACGACATTCGCGCGCGGATCCGCGAAGCCCGCGAACAGAAGCGACAGGGATCCTCAAAGTCGAAAGACTCCGAGCAGCCTTCCCGCTCCTCCAAACACGCACCGATGGTGCAGTCATCCAAACACCCCGTTACCCGCAAGCGCACCATCATCGAGCCGCCGGCGGCCCTCAAATCGCGGGACCCGCGTTTCGATCCCACGGTACGCAGCCAAAGCGGGCGTATTGAAGCTTCCCAAAGTGCTTACGCCTTCTTGGACGATTACCGCGCTGCGGAGCTCAAGGAAATGAAGGAGAAGCTCGCAAAGACCAAGGATCCGAGGCAGAAGGAAGCCTTGAAGCGTGATATCCGGTCGGCTACGGACCGTCTGCGCACAATTGAAAACAGAAGAAGGGAGAAGGAGGTATTAGCGGAACACAAAAAACGAGAGAAGGGGCTCATCCGCGAAGGAAAGAAGAGCAACCCGTACTTCCTCAAAAAGTCGGACCTCAAGAAGCAGGTGTTGCTTAAGAAGTATGAGAGCATGGGCTCTAGGCAACGTGTGAAGGCGCTAGAAAGAAGGCAGAAGAAGTTGACTGCTAAGGAGAGGAAGGAAATGCCTATGGAGCGACGCGGACTGGAGCATGATTCCACGCCTTACAATGATGGCGGGGGCGGTAAACGCAGGCGGCTTGCTTAGAGACAGTGTGCCCATATCTTCAACCCATCAATCGCTTTATGGCGAGACCGTTTGTTTTCTTCTACATGAAATTTTCTGTGAAAGCTTGCATCTGGACTCTGAATAGATCACGGAAAAGATCGAGAGAACTCATTATTAAAATTTGACTGGATCTACCAGTCCTCACTAGCTGTGCTATAAAAATGCAAGATGACGACTCTCTCAAATTATCACCAGTCCTGGTTCGAGAGGATTGATCTGCGCCGGGCATTACTGCAAGGTTCAGGACAAGAAAAGAAGTGTAAGGAAAAAGCAAAATGAGCTTTGTCTGACGGAAATACTATGTCGAAATGGAAGATAAGAAAATGGTAAGGAGAACAATGGTATCACAACAAGATTGACCAAATCAGCGGCGACAAATGCCAGCAATGATATCGGTGGAAGGGAAGAACAGATATGGACATAGTACTGTGCAACGTTGACATGTCCCAGCATCCAATCCAAAAGATACAACGCCAGTGAAGAGCTGCCCCAAAAAAGGTGGAAAGAAGAGGCCCAGGGAGAAGTCAGAAATGATAACATCTCCGGCTCTGGTATCAGGGAGGTTCGAAAGAGTTCGTAAAGATAAGTCGTAAGTCTCGCAATCATCAATCTCAACTGACTAATCTCATTCAGTCAAAAGCTTCGTGCCTGTCCAATTTTCAGCTGCTCTGAATCTCAGTGCACCAAGACTGCTCCCGATTTAGACTCGTTACATTCATGTTCGAGATGCAGAGGATCTGAGCCGCAAGGTCCGACACCTAGGATTATGCCCAAAGCTGGAACAAGCGAATAACATCCGACGGAATGATGGG